GCACAGAACAGCTGCTGGGCATGGTTTTAACGCTAAGTTTGCTGCATGAGTAAGCAGTGGGACTGCGGGACTGCACGAGTTTCTAGGGTGCTGGTCTAAGAAAGCAGACTGAGCAACCTGTGTTTGGGGTGGAAGGGGCATGCATAGGGTCAGGCTTCAGGCAGAAGGGAGAGAATAGGTTTATTTAAAAAAAATCCTGTTGAATGGAGAAGTATCAACCCTGGGTTGTGGTGTCCCAGGGTGAGCTTTCCACTCTCTTCATTCTGTCACAGTCCTGTTGCAGGACACTGTGGGCAGGACAACACACAGCTCTTTTTCTTCTGTGCCTACTTCTTTTCATTTTGGCTATGCACTGACACCTGCAGCCAGGGAGGGAAGTCCAGCAGGTTGAAGTCAGCACTGCTGGGCTCAGCCTTGCAGAGAGGCTGGTGCTTCAGGATGGAGTGTTGGGAGCTAGTGCAGGTGTGGTTCAGGGGTCTGCCCTGCAGGAAGCCGAGGTAGGTAGAGGTGTGGGTTTGCTCTCTGCGGTCTGATCATTGCATATGTAGAGCTCTGCTATTCTTGTGGAAGAGAGGTATACAACCAGCACTGGATTTCTCTCACTGTTGCAGTGGGTTAAGTTCTTTTATTAGATTACAAGTAGCTGAGGATTTTCTTAGAGAGCAAAGGCAAGTAGGAGGTTGGATTTCTGAAAGCCTTGTTCATCTTTTCATAATCTCATTAATACTTAGTGCATATTTCCTGCTCTGTTTGATAGAAAGTATAAAAAATGATCACAACTTGCTTTGCTGTAGAGCTTATCATTTATCCGTCTAGGAGCAGCAGAAAGCCTTACATTGTCCTCACAGTTTACCTTCCAAGTGGTGATACAGAGAGAGAATCACTTGACCTCTGCTGTCCTTTACCTTGACAATCATTCCAATGCAGTCACCTGTATTTTGGTGACTGGAGATATCTGTTGTCGTGAACTCAGGGCCAGGCAAGTGGTCCCTATGGGGGATCACTGGAAAATAGACATTTGTGTGTGTGTGTCAATAATTGAGAAGCTCATTTTATTCCAGTAAGAATCTTTCAACCACAATCAATTTCACATGCCATCATAAATAATGGAGGTCAGCAGAGCACTGTGAGTGCTTCAGCAAGCTGTGTTGACGATGTTAAAATGCAGTAAACAGCAGAGAGATGCAGCTCTGCATGAGTGAGTATACATTAATACTTGTTTAGGGATTGTTTGATTGGCAGACCTCGTTCTTCCAGGATTTTTCTGATGAAAAATGCTTCATGTTTCTGTAGCTTTGGTAATTGGAGTGGATTGTCTAATTTCCTGGGCACCCCATGGTACCAGGACAACTCAGCTCCCAGGGCTGTGCAGAGGAGCAGCAGTGCTGCCATGCGCACTGTGCAGCTGGGGTCTGCTCTCACTTCCCTGAGGTTAATACTTCATATCTGTGCGTATCTTTTTTAAGCCTGTGTGCTTTAACTAGATCAGTGTTCATTCCACAAGTGATCGAACCTGAAGCTACACTAAAAGCCACAGCAGTTAGAGAAGCACACAGCCCCAAATTCCATTCCAGTGCCTGTCACTATGATCTTTCCTTTCACATTCACTTTTAGAAAAGTGGATTTCCTTTCCAGTTTTGCTACCTTTCTCTTCCAAGTGTCAAATCTAATTTGATGTTATTTGAATAACTCATCTGTTATCCCTGTATGAGGGCTTCTGAGCTGTGACCAATTCACCTTTCAGATACTCTCTGTCTGCTGAGCAACTTCAGCCTCTCACTGTGCAGTGAGTTCTGTGGATGTGAAATCATTCTTACAGCTGTTCTCTGAACTCCTTTCAGTTTTTAACTAACTGGTAGGAGTTTCTGCATCTGCTCTCCGAAGACTTCTTGTATCCTTGGCCCTACTGACAGCATGTATGCCTGCTAATGTCTCCCCGGAACATGGCAGGCATTGCAAATGCCACAGAGCTCAAAAGTACCACTGCTGAGACCTCCTCCTTATGCTGCTGGTTTGCAGTGCTCCAGAATATAAAGCACAGAAATAATTAAGTAGATTAATTAGCTAATGTTTGTACAAGACCTGGAAAATTTAAAGCACTATATAATTGCTAAGTACAGTAGATTAATTAGTTAATGTTTACATAGAGCTTTGTAAATGTAAAAGTGGCGTAGCAGTGCTAAGTGTTATCATTAATTAATTTTTCACTATTTGTGAGATTCATTACAAGCAACAACAATGTCAAGTGCTGGTGTTCCAGTCTTGCTGAACACACCCATGCCCACATGGGGACTGTGTGGGTGCCACTGCAGAGCTGGGCAGCTTTTTCTGCTCCCCTGTCCTCCAAAATAGCTGCTATTCCCCTCCTTATCCAAGTTTCTTTTAAAGCCTGGCAAGCTTGTGAGCTTGCCACTGCAAAAATGCTTCCAGCAAGAGTGTGGCAACCTCTGTGTTCTCCTGCTCAACAAAAGAGCAGGGAGATATGAAGCCAACACTATTTACTAGCAGATAGAATGATCTCTGTTGTATACATTTATTTGTGTAAATAATGAGAATGGGATTTCCCATGCTTGTTCAACAAGACAATTCAATTTGAGTTCTGTCTCCCAGACATATGCTCCTGCACTGTTTGTCATGCTCTGGGTCAGTAGGCAGAAGGCACTCTTCTCCCTGAGCTTATGAACTTGCAGGAGGGATGTGGCATTTGTCACTGTCTGCTGGATATCTTCTCACAGGTACTGCAAACCAAATACTTCTCTGCAGAAGCAATTGGGAGAGCATATGTTGATCACACAGAATTTCTAATGGGATGGTGTGACAGGCTGGCAAGGAGAAATGGTGAAGGTCAGCCTTGGAGCACAGAGCTGGCAGCTGGGCAGTGGCAGAACCTCTGAGGAGCAGCCCCAGATTGCTATGCGAATGCAGGAATACAAAACCAAGGAAGTGGAATTTGTCCTTAAATGAACAAGAAATTTGGAGCCCCCGAGTCTCACCACCCACTCTACTCCACTCCCAGGTACTCTTGGAATCCTCTCACTCGCCATGCGCTGTGCCAGCCCTCATCTGTAGAACTATGGCTCTCTAAAGAGCAGGAAGGACAGGGACCCTGAGTGTCCTGCTCCAGGCCTGCAGATGGGAGCCTGTCACTCTGGAAGCTGCATGTTGCCATTCATCTGACTTCCTTCCTTCCAGCACTGTGTGCCCAGGCATCGCTGTGCATGTGGCAGCACGCCAACAACCATTCCTGGCTCTCAGTCAGTGATGTGCTAGGGTGATGAATGGCAGAGGGAACAGTGTTACTTTGCTGAGCTTGTGAAGAACATTTCACACCCAGGCAACACCGAGCGAATCTGTTCTGCTGGGACAGCATCTGACCCCACATGTCTTTCCTTCGCAGGCTGTGCCAGTGCCAATGCATGCAGCCTTGCGGGAGAAGGCACAAGGATGCTCTGCACCCTTGAGAGATCTGTGTCCAATGGGGGCTGGCAGCTCTGGGAGCTAAGGCAGGCAGGCAAGCTGCTGAAAATGACATTGCCTGTGACAAATATATTACTGATTTCTTCATCTGTCATAGAGCAGCGCCTCGACCATCTGCTGTCACTTAGCACTTGGAGATGGGCTTCCCATTGCCTTTCCCCCACTTCTGTTCATCCTTCTTTTTGCACTTGGTCTTTGAAGAGAGCAGTACATGAAGAGCTGGAGGGAAGAAAAGGGGAAGGAAACATGGTTTCTCCCTGAATGGCAACTAGCACCTCACAGCTGGCATCAGGGTACTCCTCTCTGCAACCTGTGCCCTGCAGTGCTGTGTTGGTGTGCTCAGAGGCTCATAACTGACAGACTACAAGGGCAGGGAGCTGAGTTGATCTTATTGTGTGTATTGAGGAAAGAAGGCTTTCTTCAGCTGCTTCTTTATTTGCAAGAAGGGCTGCAGTTTGTGGCAGGTGTGGGCAGGCATCCTTACCACATGTGCTCTATGTGTGTTTACTGACCCTATGCTTGCATGGAGCATCCACTGCCATCCACTGACACCTTTGTGGAAAAGCCCTTTGAAAAATAGCCAGGAAGGAAAAGCACAGAATAAACCAATTTATCATATTCTTGGTTTATTCCAACAATTTCTTCCACAGACCCAGTGGCAAAAATGTGCAAGAAGCAGCTACACTTCAGCAAGGAGGGGAGAAGGCAGTCGGCGTGGGGAGGACAGGGCAGATGGGCAGTCCAGTTGCATTGAGGAGGTTCTTTAATGCCTGTTTGCCAGGCGAGAGGGAATGGCTTTAAGGAACATCTTTATTAGGGTACACTACTTAGCGTCAAATAAATGTCAGGGCTGCTGTATTCTGAGTCCCTGCCCAAGGCACTGAACCTGCCTGTCATTCAGCCGTCCAAGTACCAACCAGAAAAGCACTGGCAGAGTCCTGGAAAGATTTATTTTTCCACATTTAATTGCCCTTTTTGCTTTGTAAACATAAAGGTTGAAGCTTAAACTCTGACAGCTCCAGTAGCCTTTTTCTTATCTCCTTAAAAAAATGACATTCAGCTTGTTAGATTTTTCTTTTACCGCAGTCCAAAATCTCACAAAATCTGCACAACTTCTTTTTTTTTGGTGTTTCTTTTTTTTTTTTTTAAGATCATTGAAGCATTTCAGTGCTCACTTTGGGAAATACCCTTCAGCTCACAAAAGCTGGAGCCTGAAGAGCCAAGACCTTTCCCCACAGCAATGCAGGATAAAAATGCTCAGCCAAAAGAGGCAGAACAAGCAATCAGCATTCCGCCTTTTCACCGGGAGCAGATTAAAGCACGCTTATCTGCTCCTGTTATTGTTCTAGAAAGAAATGCAAAGGCCAAGGACATGAGAAAAACAGACACTAAAAATCAAAACTGTTTGTACCATAGCAGTCTGAAAACTTCATGAGCCGAGTTCTTTCTCTGCAATGCATCCCTGCAAAGGAGGAAAGCCCTTGCAGGGGCCTGGGCCACCACAGAGCCTTTTATCCGGCTCTCCTCCATCATTTTCTGTGGGTTCCTGTGGGATGCTTCTGACCCTGGAGTTAGCTTATACTGTTAATCATGCTCTCTCGTGTTATCCTGTTAATTCTGCTTTCTTGCAGGCTGTGTTGGGTTGTGCCTAAAAGTGGGACTTGATTTCTGTGTTAGAGACTTCACATCATCTTAAAATTCAAGACCGGTGCAGGAGATTCGTAAGTTTGCTGTCAGGATGTTGTAGGTGTGATCCAGCACTACTTATTTTATTGTATGTCTGTGTTGCTGCACTCTCTGTTGTTGTCTCTTAACTCTCTGTTAAGTTTATCTTTATTCATTCACTCTTTATTTTCTTTATCTTCTAATTCATACAAAATTCAATGTTGTGTTATTCAGCTGAGGCTTTCAACAAGTTGTTGAGAGAGGATGACTATGCAGCAGAACAATTTATCATTCTTCTTTCTACAACATCCTCACCCATGGACGTTTTTGTCTCAAGGCCTCATAGTTTTCTAACTACATGTATTTTTTCTTCTTTCTTCATCTGTATTGGTGGGAAGGTTGCAGAAGTCCCACGTGGGCCTTCCTCTCGTGGCTGATACTGATGGCTTGCTGTGGTTACAGAGAATGCAGTTGGTTTCTTGCTGCTTCTGAAGACTTACTGTCTGCCTCTGAATATGCTATGTCCAAAGAAGGGTCTGATGTCCTTCACTTTATTTTTTTTCAAGCTGTTGAGTAGTTGGTACATGCAAAATCTTTTGATGCTTCTTCATGCCGAGAATTATGGACTGCAGGTTTGGATGCATACAGAGTGAATGGACATGTTCCCCCTTGTGATTGTGGATTGGGAATTCAGACTGGTTGGTGAGGGGAACACTGTCTCTCACTGCTGTCTAATTTAAAAAGTAGCAGCTCCTTGGGTTCAAATGCATCTGCTGTGTTTACTGCCGTCCAGAGCCTTGCTATCCCAGGAGCATCTGCTCGCCCACCAGTCATTAGCAATGTAGATGCTCCAGACAGACTGAGGAACTGACCCAAGATCAGTTCTCTCTGAACAGAGATGTAACTCTGTAATGAATTTTCCACTTCCTTATCAAGCTAAATAGCAAGCACTGAAGCATGACACCAGTTATGGTGTCAAGCACACCAGCAAGTTAACTTCACTGACCATGAGCTGTCAATGTCCTTGTTCACAGAACATCCAACATACTTTCCTGTAGTTTAAGCTTTTCTACCCAGTGCGTATTTAATTGCTTTGTGGTTCAGTTCCCATCTCTGTTGTTGGCTTCAGTTTGGTTCTTGCAGACGTATTTGGCTGCTTCCTGGTTTATGCATTTCCCATATCCTTCAACAATGCATATGAATCTAAGCAGAGGTGCACAGGAGCAATTAGAGGACCTTTGTGTAGATGCTTCCCAGTTTTTCAGTGGACCACATGACTCCCCTCACTAATTAGCTTTGTTTTGGCTGCCTGCTCTTTTTGTATTTCTCCCTCACACTGTCAGATACTTCATTTCTCTCTTGCAAGATGCTCAGCTGATAAGCATCTTCGCTCTTTGCCAGACAGCATGTGTGCTTGTTAGCTGCCAGCCAGCTGATTATGATTAGGCTGTAGTTTTGATAGTTATTTCCTGTCTCTCAAGCCTGAACAGATGGCACGCTCCTCTCAGTGCAAGCTTTGACTTTCATAATACTTCATGGCTTGGCCAAATAGCAGTTGCATAGTCCACACATGAGAAGCTTCTCAAGGGGCTCCTTGCAAAGAGAGAGGATCAACTGTGCCCCCTGAGGATCCTCCCAAGTTACTATCTGCATCGGGAGTGCTGGCATGATCTTGTTCCTTGGATGCTCCTAACTACAGTTTTGTTTCCTAGATTGCAAGTCTGGTCTTGATAGGTGCTTTCAGCATCATGTTTTGGCTTTACATGCTAGAGGACAATTAGCATTATGTCTGATACGCTAAGAAATGCTATTTTTGTATTTTATTTTATAGGATCAAAACACGCACTCTGAATGTTTGCAAGATGAGCACAAGACCTTTGTAAGAACCAGACAGGGAGGTCTTTATTATGAAGAGAAGAATCATTTTATGTTTGGTAAGCAAATATGGTGTCTGTCTGTATGGATTTAGCCAAAAGTTGTTTGTGAGCAGAAAGATGCACCTACCTCCAGGTTTAATGGTTTATTCCAAAGAAAAATAACAATAAAGATAATTCTTTTAAAACAGATTATCTGAGAGTACAGATTGTCAAGCTTTATGCTGCTGGATAAATCAAACTAAGTGCTGAGAGTTAATTTGTCTGACCATAAATCGCATTCAGTAAGTGTAAGACAAAACTAATTGGCTTTCTTCCATACAAATTTAATCACACTGTAAAATGTGATCAATGCAAATAAAGAGTAGGTTAAGTGTCAAGAATATAGAAAGAAAAACAATGGCTCATTTCCATTCTTAGAACACCTGAAAATGGGACGGGTTTCTGTCTCTGCTCTTACCATCTCACAGTTCAGCCCTGGCCTGAACTTAGTGAGCGCTGGTGTCTGCAGTTTGTCTCTGCTGTTGTGTGTTAGAAATACCTTTTCCCTCAGTCTTTATAGTTGTTTCTGTTGTCTCACAGGTCAAAGCTGTTGGTGGAGTGGTCCAAGCCTCCTGTGGATGAAACACACCCAGCCAAACGCAGGCCAAATGTCCTTACCTGTGCAGCCCCTCCTGTAGCAAAGGTAGCAGTTGCAGCTCCAAACACGGAACTCACAGAGCTGAGCCCAGCCCTGGAGTGTACACAGATGACCAGGACTTCTGCTGGCTGGGCTCTGCTGTGCACCCCATCCCTTCCACTAGGGAGCCATGGCATCCAGTGTCCTCACTTGTGCAAGCCTCCTCTTTATGCTCTCCTAACATTCCTGGTCCCAGAACAGCCCCTGCTGCTGATTTCTCCAGAAGAGCTGGGTTCGTGCCCCATCCAGGCCTGCTTAGGGGGCTGAACCACTGCTGAGTTTCCCGACTCTTTTGGTACAGATCTTCAGCTGAGTCTGAGAAGAAGTGCTGAGCCATCTCCTGGGGCTCGCCTGGTGTGCAGTCTTCGTGTTGAGCCTCTTCAGTGGATGTGCAATTGCCAAGGCAGACATCTGGTGAGGTGAAAAGAAGCTGCCAGGACAAGAGCTGCAGCTCTAACACACATCACAGCAGAGGTTCAAGGCAAACTGGATGCATGCAGCCAAACTGAATCCTTTAAAATTAATCTGTTGAAAGACCTGCAGTGAGAGGCTGACAGGCAGTAGTTATGGTGATGGCTGAAGTGTGGTTGAGGGTGCTGCAATTGCTGCTCATGCAGAGAGCAGATAAATCCCTCAGATGTGCAGGTTGCCAAGAACTGACATCTTTTGTAAACAGCATCTCTCAGTTTTGCCCCAGAGATGTCCAGCTTGGGCATGACATGGAAGAAAGCTGAGAGAAGAGATGGGGAGAGAGGGAAAAGAAAAGAGCAGCATAAAACATCTGTGAAACTGAAGGAAGCAGCTTCTAGTGTGGATGGGTTCCTGTGCAAACTGTCAGAGCTGAAGTGGGAGAGAAAACCTCCAAAGCTAGAGGTAAGGGTAAAGAGATGTTGCATCACTTCTCCTAGCCTAGGCTTCTTTGCTGGGCTTCTTGCAGTTTCAGAGGACATGCTTAAGTGGGTAGGAATTGCTGCCAGTCTGCACACAGCCTGCTCTCTACCTTGGCCTCTTAGTCAGGAGTGTTAGAGCAATCTGCAGGAAGATGGAGGTGATGAATGGCACTGCAAGTTCCAGCTGTGCAGAGAGGTGGAGGCAGATTTTGTTACTCAGGACCCTTTGTCCTGCCCCAGAGATGATGTTTATATTGGCAGGATCCTTGGAAAAAGGGCTTGGCTTGGCTTGCATTTAGCTTCCAGTTCCGTGGTGTGGCATGCTCATGGAGGCCTCCAAGATCCCAGGAGAGGTGGGAAAAGTGGGGGGCGGGCATGATGGTGACAGCAGCCAAGGACCGACTTCCCACAGAGGAATCCCTCTGGGAGTGCAGAGGTGCCCTGTAGTGTCACATTCAGCACCCTTAGCTCAGGGCTGGCAGTGCCACTGTTTTTCTGTTGCTGTCCTGAACGGCAGCTGCTGCCCTTTATTTCAAGGAGGAAAAATAGTGAGAGACCCTCACTGCCCCAGGGAACCTGGCAGACCTGCTTCCCCTTACCTCTGTCCTCCCTCCTCCTAAAATTTTGGAATTAAGTTCTAGTATCTCATAAAACATCACGCTTATATCATAACTTCAGTGTGCAGAGAGCCCATGCAGGGGCCGGGATGCATACAAATTGCTGCTCTAAATCTCCAGCTACAATAAGGAAACGTCAGATGGTGGCAGTTTACTTGATAAATACCTAATATAGCTTAAATAATTATTTAATGCAGACAAATGGAAAAAGAGAGCATCTATGTGCTGTGTTATAATAAACTACAGCTCGTGACTTGTTGAGCGGTGAGAGTAGCAGCTCCAGTAAAGGGCTCTACCACGGCCAGGGCAGGAGGACTCAGGCTGAGTATTGGCTGTGGGAAGGTCCTGCCAGGAGCTAACAGGTGTTTAGTGGCAGACTGATGAGAGATGAGAACCCTCAGGGAGCACAGTTAATGCAGTGCTGATGACCTAACTGGAGTGATGAGTGTTTTGTCCCGCCACGTTCCCCACACTGACTGTAGGGCTGAGTGTTGACTGGAGGGGCGAGTGCAGCCCAAGCTGGGCTGTGCTTCCAGCAGTGCCATCCCAGCGGGGTGAGGAGGGGCTGTCTGTGCTGTGCCGTTCCTGTTGCTGCTCGGACAGCTGCATCTCTGCACTGCTGTGTCACACCACAGCATCTCTCAGCCCCAACAGCACTGCAGGAGTGTGTGAATGTGGCTGTGCAGGTGAGCATTTGACCCAGCTGTACGCGCTGAGGTTTGGTGGTGACCGGTAGCCCAAAAGGAAGCATCACGCAGTGGTGTGAGGCAGGTTGCTCTGTCAGCTTAGCAAACTCCCAGCGCCAAGGGTGTTGCACTGCCAGCAGGAATGCCTTGTGGAGCTGCTTTACACCACACTGCCAGCAGAATTTTGTGGGTTTTGTGAGTGCAGCTCACAGTCTTTACCTCCTTTCAGCTCCATGGTCGATGACTGTTGATGGGTTTTTGCTTTATATGCTCAGTGGTATTTCATGAAGCACGCTGGTCTCCTCCACGAGCTCTCCAACAGATTACAAGGACTGCACTTGACTGAGCTCCTGGTGTTCTGCTGTGTCTGCTGTGCAGAAACAGAGCTGTGGCACATGCCTTTGCATGGCGGGGGATAAACACAGCAGCAGAGATGGAAGATAAGTGGCAATAAAAAGTACAGTGTGGAGCGCCTGCCCTTTAAAATATATTAGATAGTTTACAAATAAAGCTGTGTATTTTTAGGATCTATCTAGAATTGTTTGGCCTGTAGACCTTGAGGAATCTGACCTTGAAGGGAAAAAGTAAAGCTGTGGCCAGCCTTCAAAATGATCTGGAAGCAGATGAGGACAAGGATTCTTGCTTATTATTTCAGCAATAATGGTGTGCAGAAATGCCAAGTGTTTGGTGAGGTCTGCAAGCAGGGCTCCTTCCTTCCTTCCACAACCATCCTGGTGGAGCAGTGAGGAGGAGGGGGCCTGAGCTGCAGCTTACCTTCCCTCAAGTGAACCTGGTGGAGATGGCTGTGAAGTGACTGTAGGAATTGGTGCTGTAATCTTCTCATTTTAAATTTGTTCTTAGAGAAAACACAGATGATTCTCTGCATGGAGAATCCCCTGCACGTGCTGGGGCCAGGCTGCTGATTCAGGGAGCCAGAGCCTCCACGTGCTTTGTGCTCTGGCAGAGAAAATGTAAACACATCTCTGGTTTTATGTCTGACCGAGGAGATGTAAATCAAGTGTGTGCTGAAGCCTTTTAAATGTTTTGACATTTTCCAATCCATCAAGGCCTTTAATTGTATTTTGAGTGAGTTGTTGTATATGTAAATACCCGTTAATGTTGAAATTGTTTATAGCCAAATTGTCTGTTTATGCAAATCGTGTTCCGAGATCACAGAGTTTCTATTGCGGAATAAAAGTCTCTTTTATTTAATGCTAGGAATGTTTCCTGTGGCTGCTCTGGCTTTCACAGATGATGTAGCTCTGCTGTGCTGTCAGAGTAGGGCCCAGTGCTCAGCAAAGGGATGTGAGGAGAGAAGCAGAACCAACCTGTGGAGCTCATCTCCTGTGGCTGTGTCAGTGCTCTGCTTCTGCCTTCCTGTGGGCTTTAGGACTTTCCTTGGGCTTTGGGAAACCTGATGGCTGACTCCTGTCTGCTCCAGGGATTTCTCTATCTGGCTTACATGTTAATTCAAGATTCTGGTGCAGATTGCAACAGGCATTAAAAACTGCTGGGTGAAAAACAGAAATCAACATGCTGCTCCTGTTACGCTGTGCCTAAGTGGTAATCGAGATCATCACCTGTAGATAAATCTCTTCCTGCCATCCTGCAGAAGAGGAGCAGTTACTATAGGCTCTGCCTCCAAGTTTTTAATCATTGGGGAGCACATGCAAATTAATGACTCGATCATGATAAGAATCAATAGCTCTGGAGTGTTTGCAAGCTGCACTGCAGATACGAGATGTGTCTGATATTCAGTGTGGGGGGCAGAGTTCATGTTGGATGCAGGCATCTGCTGGGCTGCGTGGGTCCTCTCGTTGTCTCCAGCTGCCCCTGAGGAGGGCTGTGTGCCCCAGGACCACACTTCTGCTCTGGCTTTTTCAGTCAGACAGCACTGTTGATTGTGCTTTTGTGTTTGCTTAATGTCAGTGTCCCTTGGGGAATACCGTAGAGTAATAGCAAGTTGCACAGCCTGGAGTTCGGCTCCTGTATTATTTCTTCATTAATATTTGTTGTTCATAAATATATATTCACTCCTATTTATCAAAAGAACACCAATTACCAGCCATAAATTCTAACTGTGGGGAATATTTCAGTCCGGTTTTATTAAGAAGTGATTTTTAAAAATGTTGCTGAGCCTTTTAGCCAGTTATGTGCTACTAAATATTTAAATCTGTATCTCTTGCTGCACACTGAATTACAGCAGGGGGATATTTAATGCTCCCATTTCCCCAGCATAAATCTGCAAAAGATTGACTGGAAGAAAAGCAGAGTGCTGAGCAGCCCGTGGAGACGTGGAGCACTCACTGGTGCCCAGCGCAATGGGTGCAGTGCTCTGGGGTCCCTCTGGCCGAGGCTGCTGTGCAGAGCAGCTCGCAGTGTTTCTGGGCTGCTGTCAGCAATGGGTGCCTGGAGGCCTGTTACACACCAGTGAGATGGTGGTTTTATTGTTTGACCACGAGGCTGGTTTACGACATGAAAAGCTTTCAGCACTTAAATAGTACTAATAGGAACCACTCCCGCATGGGCTCTAACAATCTCCCCCGTTAAAAGTGTGATTAAGAAATTAATTCATCTGGAAGGGATTGGCATGCAGTGGTAAACACTGAGATCACAAGTTTTTTATTTTTATTTTTTAATTTATTAAGGCTGCATGGTGAGAGGAAGTGTGGAGCCTGAGGTACACGCAGGCTTCCTGCTGCTGGGACACAGGCTCGGCTCACTGCAGGCCCCACATTGTGCTGGTCAGTCTTGAGAGGTTTGAGGAAACTGGAAATGGAGGAGGAGGGGGAGGAATGCAGAGTGTGCTCTTGGTGGAGGGGAACACTCAGCAGTGCTCTCACATCACTGCTGCTGGGCAAAGGACCAGGGCTGCCTGGGTCAATCCTGTACATGTTGGAGCATCCTTGCTGCCAGCACAGCCTGACAGCTCCCAGCCCTGCAGCCCTTTGGGCAGCCACTGTGGAGCCCAGCAAGCCCAGAGCAGGACTCAGAATTGCTCAGCACAATGCATGTTACAATTAAATTTTGACAGACGTGGTCACAGCTTTGATGTCCATCAACAATTGCTGGCAGGTGACTCTAAAGAGCTGTTATTTGCTTCTGAAAAGCAATCAAAGACTTTCCCTTCATCAGACTCTTTGGGAGCGAGCAGAGTGGGTAGTGCCAGCAATCCCCATCCCTCCCTCTTTCCCCATCCTCTTCTCTCTCTCATTCTTTTGCTCTCCTACTTTGAGCCCTGGTGGTTCAGGGTCTGTGGTGGTCCTTGACAGCCAACCTGCCTGTGGCAGCATCCCACATCCTGCTCTGCCACTTATGTCCCCAACCTCTTCAGCAGGTCCCATGCAGTGGAGTTGCAGACACTAATAACAATGGGCGCAGGACAATTCTGCATGCTGCTGTGGAAGATGCACACTGACAGCAAGTTTTTCAGGCAGGGAAAAGTGTCTTACGATTTCATCTCCTTCAAAATCCCAAAACCAGAACAAAAGGAAAACAGCTGTGTGTCTTCCTGGCTGCATGCAGCCAGTGCCAGCAGTAGAGGCTGCCTGCAGTAGGGGCTGCCCAGGGGAAGGGGCTCTTTGCTCTATGCATACCACACAGTGTCGTCTTGGCCTCTTCTGACCACCCCAGATCGGGCAGAACAAGCTGAGGCAGGAGGGAGCAGCCTGCAAACTGGAGCTGCAGAGCTGTTGGAGACAATGGAGGGCAGGGAGGCTGCTCTGTGCTTTGAGGGATCACTGTTCTGAGTGCAGGCAGGAGCACACGCTGTGCTTGCGTACAGGCACAGAGAATATTCATATTGTGATTTATCCCATTCTTTTTCTCCATTGATTTTAATTAAGTTCACTCTCTCCTGCCAAGCATGGGGAATACAAGCAAAAATTAAAAATACTGAAAGTTCGTTTGCTTTGCACTGGAGTTTTCCCACCCTTTCAGAGAGGGAAAGGGGGCCCACACCACCACAATGCATTTCCTGTGCTCTGCTGGTCCCCAAATAATAAACATAAAATTAAAATCCTGTTAGGAGAATCACAAAAGCTATTATAGCTCAGCAGCTGATATTGACTCTGATCAAATCTTTTGTGTGATTTCACGGCTTTCTGGGCTGCTCACCATGCACACTCTGATCATGTTAGCTCTGGTTTGGTTTTTTTTTTCTCTCCCCTGCTGAAGAAAAGCTAAAAGAATGGCAAGAAAAAGCAATATCTAATCCTGTGATATAAGTTTGTGTCACACTTCTATTCTTGCAAAAGATACTTGGATAGACCGTACCAGAAATGAGATGACTGTACTCCAGGCCCACATCTCCTCCTGTGTATGTAGCCAGACATTGCACAGCTATGAACACAGGAAGCAAAAGCATGGGATTTTTTTGCATGTATCTATTAACCATCATAGATGAGCAGAAACAGTCCTGCACAGCAACCTGACTTCAATTAGCAACTGGCTGATAGCCTGTGTTCTGTGGGTATCCATCGTCATCCTATTTTTCAACAGACTCATTTTTCATATCATATAGGGTGAGAAGCAGATAAAGAAACCTCTTACTCAACTCTGATTTTAATTAATATAGTCATCAAATTGGCTATGAAAAATTATGAAACCTCAGCAAAAATTCTGGAGGGTTATAAAATGGGACAATTTAATGTTTGCCGATCTGTGCTTTCCTCCAGTCCCAGGCAGTCAGTCATGGTGACTTGGTTTCTGAGAGATGTCTGGAAATACTCACTGCAATCTCTTTACAGAGTTTAATGACCTCGGGTCATTTGGTGTTTGAAATATTTCTAGTAGAGAATAAAAATGGAAAGTTTGTTAGTTGCCCTGCAGGAGGTCATAGCCATCCACCTTTGGCTGAAGTTCTGTACAGCCATCACTGGCTGCAACGCTTCCCCAAATGAGGGGGCTTGGCTGCCTCTGTCGCACAACAAGGTTCTGCCCTGGGAAGCAACAGCTGGGGGCCGCTTCCATGGCCCAGTGTCCAGGCTGGAAGCAGCCTTTCCTCTGCAGAGCCAAAGGGCTGGAGGGGTGTGCACAGGAGCTGCGCTGCTGCAGCGCTGCAGAGAAGGCAGGAGGGCTAGGAGACTCTCAGATGAGTGTTTGCTAAATGAAAATGCATGTGTGAAACGCAGATAAGTGTGTGTTAAATGTATCACAGCCCTCTCAGCAGCGTGAGTGCCTGGAGCCTGTTTGTTTAACAGCCGTGGTTTCAGTTGCTAACTGTTGAGCTCTGCTAATCCCAGAGGTGGCTGTTGTGGAGACAGTTTGCCCCTCTAACCAGAGGTGATTGGACTTAAAGCTGCCAGGAGAGGAAACCTGTGTGGAGGTTTGCTGGTTTTGATCCTTTCTTTAGTGATGGTCTGCTGGAGGAATTGGCCTTGTGGCCTTCGCACTGGCTGTTCTTTGCTGCGTTTCATGTTTGGAACTGGCTGTAAGAGAGGACATCAAAACCAGGGCTGAGCGCAGATAGCCCGGCTCCTGCTGGAGGGTGTTGCTCTCATTGGCTGTGGAGCTGGTGATGGGATCACATCTTCAGGGAACAGGGATGGAGTCAATTGCATGGAGGAGGAATCCTTGGGCTGTGACATCCCACCGAACCCATGTGCTGGCAGCTCCACATGCTGCCTGACCCCATCTGGCTGCAGGGCCCACAATGGCATCCACAGCTCAGAAGTGGTGCAGTGAGCACAGCCTTCCATGGGGCAAACTATTATTTATGTTTTTAGATACTGCTAACTCATAGATAATTAATGTCAGAAAGCTGCCATGGTGCCTTTGCTAATAGCTCAGCAAAAGGAGACACACTGGTCAATTAGCAGCTATGTGATCTGACAGTACCAGCAAAGGGCAGATCAAGCTGCCAGCCCCCTTGGCTAATATCATTAAATTTAGAGAGTTGTCAAAGCCACTCGTAGGGTACTGGTGGGAACCATCAGAGAAGGGGAAGGACCCAGCAGACAAAACCCAGCACTTACTTCTACATGTTTGCAGGCTGGGCACTGCTTGGACCAGGTGTTGGGATGTGCAGGGATGTGCAGGGATGTGCAGGCTGCCATCCTGCTGTCCTGATGTTTAGATGGGTGCAGCTGCAGTACCCGACTGCCCTTTCCTGGGAACTGAGCTGTATTACCCCAGAGAAGCCCATGTTATAGCTTCTGCAATATTGGAGAAGTATTAAATTAGAAAGAGACCTCT